GATCCATAAACCTGATGTGAGCAACGATTCTCACATATCATCAGCTATCCAATGTGGTATAGACAGAACAAACCTGATGGAGGTTTAGGCTCCATTTATGTGTCATAAAAATAAAAATCACAATCAGCATGTTGGGATGTAACCAGCTCAGTGACCTTTTAATACAAGTGTTTTTATTTTTCTTGGGTTTGGAGTGCAGACATCAGTTTGTGACTTGTGGCCTGATCATTTGTAAAACAAGAAAACGTCACATATGAAGGATAAGCAGTCTGCACATTTTAACATGATCAATTCTTTGTTTTTTCTTTCCACTCAGGGCACTTATTTGTCGAATAAATATGATATTATATAGGCTCTGTGATCATTTTAGCTCCTATTTTTTTTTCTTTTTACACAGAAACACCAAACAGCTGTTTATGTGGAAGCAGAGTGACAGAGTTTTTCTGGTTCCTTGATTTAAAAGCTGAAAGAACATTATTTCTCTCACAATTTGACACAACTTCACTTCCAGATTTTAAGAAACATTCTCCTATAAAGCAAAACCCTTTTCCAGAACAATCCAGCCAGTTGTGCCACAGGCCTCTTCCCAGCCTCCACTGCAGCTCCCACCGTCTGATTATAACCTAAACTGTAACTTCATCAAGTAAACGAATTTCTGCATCTTGCTGCTGAAAGAATAACTTCTACACTCTAATCCTATTACACTATTATGTTGAATTCTTCTGCTCTCCATTTTCCCCCTGCTGTCAGATTATGGTCAGCATCCCATTAAAGCCCATATTCTGTTTTTTGGCGCCCTATTAGCATCATTTCGTCCATCAAGCGACATTAATTGTGAATGAATGCGAACTCCTGCAGAAGAATACGGTCTTCAAGAGGTCTGTCACATACTTTCTCCACTTGGGAGGACCTTTAACCTACTTAGCTGAGGAACCGCACCGTTTCAAGTAGTGCAGCTGAAAGATATGCACCTGCCTGCTTTTTACTCTCACACTGCTCGGCGATTTAAGAGGAGAGAAAGTATTTGATCTAAATGGTACTACACTGACTGCAGGTGTGGAATTTCCTCCACAAATTTCCACACCAATTTAGCCTCTGGGCCGGCCACGATACAGATGTGGTTTAAATCCTAAATTTTAGAGAAAAGAAAACAATTATTTTGTGATGTTGTGAAACTGATGGTTCCAGTGTTTGTATTAAAAGTTACAACGATTCGTTTCTGAGCCACAGAATAACAAATGTGCTTATTTTATTTCGTGCGTAATAGCGCACGAAATTAATCCATACATGTATCAATACTCTGGACGGAAAGATGCACAGAGCCAAAGACATTTTTTGCCATCATGTTGAATTTTTAATGCTATGAAATCGCCCAATATTTCATTTAAAAAAAATATGCGTGTGAAAAATATTTGCATTTTTTCTGTCGCCAGACCTTAAACAAATTGTAATGTGGGAATCCACATCGGTTAGGATTCGTTTTAAATTTAATATATTTACGTTTCGTCTTAAATTTAAAGATAAAAATGTCCGTCTTAAAGACAACAGTTTCGTGCGTAATCACACGTTATTGATCCAAACCATACAGTAATGTCTAGTTTATAATAATAGTAGTTTAAATTCTTCTTTTTCTTAGAGGCTACAGTTAATTAAATTCGCGCATTTTTCTTTAAGCTAGAGAGAGAATTATGTAGTTATAAGAAAATCCCTAGAATTCCAGGTACACTGAGAGGCCCAAGACAAAGAAAAGGCATGGTCACAGGTCGTGCGTAAATTACGCACGGGAAATTCAAATTGGATAGATGTATCCCACAGCTTGGAAATATTTATCATACTAGTTTCCACGTCTTAAAAGCCATTCAGTCTTGAGGAAGACAAAGAAAGAAGAGAAAACGCGAAAGCACTTTCAGTATTTAGGTATTTGTTTAAATTTCACACGCAATATATTAAAGAGCGAAAAGAAGTTAGAAGTTAAGTTGGAGATTTATGGGCTGAAAGCCTAAATAAATCCTCGTGTTTTCTGCACTCTGCGCTCGGCCGGTGCGTGGTTGAGGTGGCAGGTCAGGACCCTGGCCCTTCAGCCATCTCTCCACATCTCTCAGGGTATTGAACTAGCAACACGAGATGGAGAAAGGCACTTCAGTGACCAGGCGCTCGGGTCCATCTGCTGTGCTGAAATGAGGGGGGTGATGGTATCGGAAAAAGGTTGTCTGTAGGATGTAAACTACATTAAATGGGATGTTATTGGGTTCTGGTTAACGCCACTTAAACGGTCCGATAAACGCTTACACATATAGAGAAAATTGCTTAAAATGTCCTTATAGAAATTCGGTGCATCGATTTTGCGCCAGAAGGTTGTGCCATAAATGTACACAGTGAAGGAGAACATATGATCACTGATGGCAGGCGTAACCAGCTATACACTAATGGGTCACTTGGTTGGCATTTTTACAGACATCTGCTGGTTTCTAAGTAATACAGTGATTTCAGAAGCGTGTTAAATATTTTCCACGATAAGAAATTAAGAAAGTTGAACATGAAACAGAAGCAGAATTTAAAAAGCAGGCACAAAGGAAACCAGAATACCGTCCCCGTGCCTCAGTTTGGGAATAAAAATGCGTTTTTCTTCGCCATGCAATCACCGAGTCACTGCTCCTCCTTGGGGGTCAGTGCAGGCTCATTTAAATTAATATATTTGCCAGAACGCACCGTATGCTCCTGTAAATGCGCAGCAACACGCACCATCCAATAATTATCACACAAACAGCTGCGAAAGGGTTTTTTAAAAATCATTTTCTCTGTAAAAGCGTTAGATGTGTGAACCAACCTTGGCTGGGCCTTCTTCACGTTTCCTTGGCGCGTCCGTTTATCCGCCTCCGGCTGCCTTGGCCACATCACATTCCCTGGATGTAAAAGTTAACTTAGATTGACAACTACATTAATGTGGACTATAAGCTCTCATAAGCGTTGCATGCAGCCAACCAGCTCCAGATTTTTATGGGATCCTAATGTGGAGGGTTTGTGGACCAGGGTCCTGCTCTCTGACTCAGTAATCCACAAGGTTGAGAGGTTTGCCTCATTTACATAATGTTAGAGGTCTGGGCCGAGGCCTACCTTTCTTTTCTACTTGAAAAGACACCATGCAGTTGTTCCCAAAAGAGTGAAAAAGGCGCACAGACGTCTGGACAAGTAGAGGAATATTTTCCAGGTAGGAATTATTGCTTGTAAATAAAGGGTTGATTTGCTCAACTTGGATGCTTTGATAGGAAGATATTTTTCTTTTTCGGGGGAGAGTTTCTGGTTTACATCTGTTAAACCTCTTGTGGAAGAATAGTTTGAGGATTCTTTTTTTGTTTTTGTCTTCAGTGTCTTTCTGACAACTCCAGCTGACTTTGGAACACGCACGTACTGGTTTGTTTTTTTTTCTCCAGGAACAATAAAGTCCAAGCACTTCACAGTAAATCCGCTGCAGAGTCCGGGCATCTGAGGGGAGGAAGAAAGAAAGAAAGAAAGAAAGAAAGAAAGAAAGAAAGAAAGAAAGAAAGAAAGAAAAAGAAATGTCGGCTCCTGAAATATGCATAAGAACAATGATTTATTACAATCAGCCTATCAACTTAACCGGAGATTGCTGTTCTTGATATGTCGCTATAATTGATGGCTGACCATGTCACATCTTCATTTGCTCAATTAGGGTAGGTAGCTACTTGCTGTCATGCCATGCTAAATTACATTAGTGGCTTCATGCAGACGAGTGCTTCCTTCCTCCAATAAAGGAAGATAGAAACACGTCTGGAAAAATAACCTCCGAGCAGAACACCTGCTCCCGATTGTTGTCTGCTGCAAAAAAAAAAACATAAATCAGAAAAAAAAAAAAAAAATCATCACTGTTATGATGATATGAGCAGCACAGCGAACCCAACTATAGGCTCGCTGGTGCGTTATAGGTTCCAGTGACACACGTTAGGATGTAATGGGAAGATGTAATAACTGCTGGTCATTATTGCCATTTGTAGGAGCCCGTCTCTTTTCTCTTTTGACCCCCTTGTTGTGTCGCTCTTCCTCTTATTCTTCCCCTGGCGCCAGTCAGTTTGCTCAGAGATTACAATGTCAAGTCAAGACTGCGAAGTGTCATGAATGCATGTTGGCCAGACTTAAGAGTCCGAGGATTACAATAGTGTCTCCAAAGCCTCATTAAAAATAAAAATAAAAAAAATCTAAGGAAATATAGGTGTGCATTTTTATTAATTCCTGCTTTTTGAACCCCAAATTATTTGGCACCAGGAGACCCGCATGGTAAATATCATCTATAAACCCTGTGCCTTCCCCCCCTAAATGTCTGGCACTGACATACTCACTATTTGGATCCCTAGCTCCGTTCCCTTTCAGCATTTTGTCATTTTGAGCTTATTTGGACTTTTCCCTCTCTGGTGGGGCTAAAATGATGCTTAAGAAGCATAAATGAGCTGGTCATACAACTTCATTGTGCCTCTTTGATGATACTCGGTGGCCCTTATGTCTGTTCAAAGTGCTCTCAAAGTTTCTAGAAAGAGTGGAATTCCCTCCTGACGCAAAATAGTCATATGTGGTCAGATCAGCTGATGCGCACAACATAATGGCTTATTCTCACCTGTGTATGTATATTTAAAAAAAAAAAAAGAGAGACAGATCATAAATATGTGGTGTGATTTTTTTTTTATTCGTGTAAACAAGTTAATATAAAGCAAAGTGTATTTTCATGAATTATTTCCCTAAAATGTCAATGACTATTGTTTGCTGGTTTAGGAGTTTTGCTCCGCCCCCTGTGTTTGTCGTAAACCTGGCTCCTGGCTCCAATAAACCCGGGCTAAGAGCGCCCTGGGCTCGCCTCCTTCTCCAAGGCGATCAATAGGATCTCAGGCGCACTACAAGCACTCTCTTACGTAGACATCCACCAAGGAGAGAGCCGATACAACAACACGGTTGATCTGCTCAAACACAAAAATCTACCTGCTTTCTGAATCATGTCGTTGAGCCCAAAGCACACAACGCCTTTTTCAGTGACAGATATTTTGAGTCCAATCGAGGAGACCTACAAGAAGTTTAGTGGCATGGACGGCGCAGGGAACCTAACCTCTCCACTGGGAGCCTACCGACAGCCTCAGGTGTCTCAGACCGGCATGCAACAGCACTCCATGGGCCATAACGCCACCGTGGCCACCACTTACCACATGCCGCACACCGTCTCCCAGTTCTCCCACAGCGCAATGGGGGGATACTGCAATGGAAGCATTGGCAACATGGGAGACCTTCCGTCGTACCAGGAAAGCATGCGGAATAGTGCAGCAGCAACAGGGTGGTACAGCGCCAACCCAGACCCAAGATACTCCACAAGTAAGTTCGTTTCTCCTTTTATGCACACTTTTCACACTTCTTATTTTTCTTCGTGCAAACAGAAATGAATTTGAGCAGTGACAGCGGCAAACGCACATGATGAAGTGTGTGTCGTTTATTTATGTATCATTTAATTTATGTTAGGGGGCAAAAGATGTAAAGTTCGTGCACTAGTTTATATTATTTTACGAAATCTTTAATTTAGAATTACTGTTTATGGCAATTAAACTGAAAAGGAGATCATTCTTTCAAGTCTGGCTAGACTTTTTTATTTTTGGCACATATTTAAAAGTAAGCTTTTATTATTATTACTATTATTATTATTATTATTATTATTACTATTATTATTATTATTACATTAATTGTGTTTAATGTTGATGCTTATCAACTTCAATCCAACTTCAATAAATAACGCATTTAACAGCCAATAATCAATAAAGACTACTTCAGGCGAAATAGTGTTCTCCTCTTCTGTTTATTGAACGCACGTATATGTATGTATATTTTTAAGTTTCTAGATTCATGGGACCTTCCACAGGTATGAACATGACCGGCATGGGGAGTCTCACAGGAATGGCGGACGCCACCAAAGCCATGCCAGCTCTCCACGCTGCGCCCAGGAGGAAACGGCGCGTCCTGTTCTCGCAGGCTCAGGTTTACGAGCTGGAGAGGAGGTTTAAGCAGCAGAAATACCTGTCGGCGCCTGAGAGGGAGCACCTGGCCAGCATGATCCACCTGACGCCGACCCAGGTGAAGATCTGGTTTCAGAACCACCGGTACAAGATGAAGCGCCAGGCCAAGGACAAGGCAGCGCAACAGATGCAGCAGCAGCAGCAGCAACAGGACGGTAACCTGTGCCAACAGCAGGCGCAGTCCCCGAGGCGCGTAGCCGTGCCTGTTCTGGTGAAGGACGGTAAACCGTGCCAGAACGGCTCGAACACGCCGACGCCGAACCAGCAACAGGTACAACAGAACCAACAACAAAGCCAACAACAGAACGGAGCCGGAGTCGTGCTCGCATCCTCGACCGGCAGCCTCAGCCAGCATCAAAGCCAGCAGCAGGTGAACGCTTTGGAGCTGGAAGAGATGTCGCCCAGCCCCCCCTCACTGCACAGCCAGCTCAACATGGCCCAGATAGACACATCTGCTGTAGATTACACCAGTAACATGGTCAGCTCAAACCTCCTCTACGGCAGAACGTGGTAGGACCTAATACAGTACTGTCACTTTCCACTTTTTCTATGTGAACCTGCGGATGAGCCCATGCAAAAGCAGCAAAAGCAAACCACTGCAAACTATATACATATATATATATATGTGTGTGTAAATATATATACACACACATATATATATATATGAGATGCTGAGGGCTGACAATAAAGGAGGCCCTTTGGTGTTGTAGGGGACAAGGCGCACAGAGGCGCACCAGCTGATCAGGGCACATTTTCTTGACATCTCTGACAGGGGAGTCTATTTTTGAACATTACAGAAATGGCCGCCCTTGAAAGCAATTATGTCGTTTCTGGACCTTTTGTAATCCATGTTTTGGACCTTCCTCATGATGTTTTAAACGTAGTCTATGTTGTTGAAACAAAAAGGAATGCTGCTTCACTTGAGTTCGGACTGGGGGAGGGGGGGGAGGTGGGATCAGGTTTGAAGTACTAAGCCACCACTCCTTATTTGCGGTGATAACCTGGTATTTTATCATATTAATATTGTAAACTAATGTATTCATTTAGACTTATTGAATAAAGTAGGGACTTGTATATTTGGCTAACACACAAGAATGCGTTTAACTGTATAATAATCGTTATTGCGTCCACTTTTATGTTTTCTTTATTCTTTTGTAAGTTAAAAAGGAACAAATGCGTGATGGCTGCTGTACATGTTTCAAAACCAAGTGAACGTTAACAATAAATAACTTGAAGTGTGAGAGCTATTCCTGAACAAGTAATTTTTTAAAAGGGATCTGTTTTGGAGTGCATTTTCATTATGTTGTGATTGAGACCAAATTGAGCTGGAAAGCAAGGTCGATGAGGGAGCCAGCATTGTTCAGGTGACATTTTGGAGGGCTGCCTTTCATGGGAGATGTCTGCAAGACTCTGAGACCGGGAATCAGCCTCAGAAAAATCACCCACGTTTCCCCAGCAGTTTCTATATTGACATTAATTTATTGCATTATTATATTACTAATTAATTTTTTCCCCCCTTTCTTTCTTTTTAAAAAAAAAACTCTTGAGCCACATCCACTGTTTAATAGGCCTCGCTCTGCCGCAGTGTAATTGGTCAATTTTATTGTGCACGCGAGCTTCTATAAAACACTAAATAACTGCCAATTATTATAATAAGAACGAATATATTATCTAAAGAGGTAGAATACATGCCTTGCAATATTATTGTTATTATTATAATATATTAAAGTTAATTACATTGTTGGTATTATTATTGATTATTATTGTTATTAATATTATTATGCACAGCCTTCACCTAAAATAAAAGCTTCTGATATCATTTAAAAATCTAATACAAGCAATACAAATACCCCTCTTAATTTTACTTTGTTTTAAATTTTTTTTATTATGATTTTAAACTTTTAATTTAAATTCTTTTTAATTTAATTTAAATTGTCCTGAAACTGAATGTGAGTGTAAATGAAGCTCCACTGCACTCAGTTTAGTATTTAGGTGGGTTAACATGTGGGATTGGCACAAACAATGTTGATATTAAAATGAGAAAAAATGTTTTTTATATTTTAATTAATTGCCATAATAATGATAATTGAAAATAAATAATAATTTAGGGTTCAATGTTTTTTGTTTTTAATATATTTACTGTCATGAGATGTGTTTAAATTTTCTGTTTAGCAAAAATATATACAAATAAGGCTTGAAGGTAATATGAATCTAAAGATAATGAAGGAGCACTTCTGAGTTTAATACAAATATTGCATGTTTGTACTGTGTTTTAATTTAAATGATATTGATATGCACATTTTTTTTCTGATGCACTGAAAGACATTGTTAGCAAATGTTCCAAAGTACCCAGCAGCACATTGTCCCACTTTCTTTTTTTATTCTCACACACACACACACACACACACGCACACACGCACACACGCTCACACACAGAGAGACACTCACACACTCACAGAGACGAGCCTCATTCTGTTCAATCTCTGTAAAAGATGAATGATTTGTGCAAACAAACTCCAAAGTGTTTAAGGTCATCACTTAGCATCAGTGTCGGTTCCCCTTTGCTTCTGTCCTCCAAAACCTTTTTTACACCAGCAGCGGCTGATAATAGAATCTAACATTTCATTTCCTGTGGTCATTTAAACACGTTCGGAAATTACTTCTCAATCCCCTTGCTGATGACACCCTGTGATGATGATGATGGCTATCAGTGTATCTCAATGGAGACCTTGGAGAGCCTCCATTTCCAACCCCTTCACATACCTGGCAGCTGTATGTATATGTGCTATCATCCCTACACTCGAAGGAAGCGCCAGAGCCAATATGCTCCTGACATTTGGAATTGAGCGCGACAACTCCATCAGAAGGGAGTTTGATAAGAGCATTAAAAAAGAGAAATGCATTCCACAATATACACTTTGATGCTGCAAGATGCTTCTGATAGATTTTGTCTCTAAATTGAGGGCATGAATGAGCTGTCAACAAAGCTTTTGATGGTGGACCACATGAAATGAAAGTGGAGGTGAAGCCATTCTTTTCTCTTTTCAATAGCCATAGTTATGGCGCACTAATAGGCTATGCTTGGTAATCACTGGCTATTGTGCCTGTTGCTTCTCTCAGTTTATTGGGGGGGTGGGGGGTACCTCTCTTTGTAAGGATATATGAGACAGGCTGGGCACTGTAATTGGTGCTGGCATCATCATTTGTGTCTGGAAAGTTTTTGGGGGCTGCAGTGGCTACAGTGTGGTGCTACTTCCATGTTTGCAGAACCTGCACAAAGGTTGTGTGTGTTAACAACATCCACACCCACACACGTGTGCACTTGCTCATGTGCATGCAAACAAAGCTCACATCTACATACACAAACAAAATGAATAGTATATATAAAATTGGCTCTATTAGGAAAAAGCAGACGTTTCCATCGGGTGCTAGAAGGGGGTCTGGCCCCTACCTCGATGCCATATTTACTGTTAGCATACAGCGCCGAGCTCAGGATATTCTGTCTTGCTGATGTAAAGAATTTTTTAGACTATTCTTCTCAGGTAATTGCAGGTTGCACTGCATAATGTGAATGCAGAAGGAAGCCTTGCTGCAGTCTCTACAAACCCCCCCCAACCCCCTTGCTCCCCATTATTCTACTTAATATGTCAGAAGGTCTGATCGCAGAGAAACCTTTTCAAGTCCTATTGATGTGTTCCTCAATTGACCATGGCGACCTAGCAACCTAGAGAGCGCTAATTGGCAAGGGCTTAACATTATTGGCTGCATAGTTTACACAGAAACATATAACCATCATCATACACAATTTTGTGTGCGTGTGTGTGTGTGTTTTTTTTTAGTTTGCTGGTACAATAGGAGGAGAAATTGTTTCATGTTGTTAGTCTTAATGGAAAGGCATTTCAGAGGAGGAAACACTAAGCTAAAATTGTAGTCTGGCCTAGTTTTTGGATGCACTGCTGGATGAGTAAGATTTTCCTGAAATACTCACAAATAATGACAGAATAATGCGATTCACCTCATCTGATATTCCGTTTGGCAGCGTGAATGCATGCATACGATGGCACACGGACCACGTTAATCACGGCGATGATCAGGATATTGATTCAGGGGTATTTTTTCAAAGTTTTACTCCCGCAGGTTCAACCACCTCCTCCGTCCCTCTTTCCTAGAAATAGTCCCCCCCAAATCTTGCCCCATGTGAAATGATTAGGAGAGGCGAGGGCCGCTTTTTCATTTCGCTGAGAGAATGAATGCATTGAATTGGCAAGTTCTGAGAGACACAGGGCAAGATTTTAATTAGTGTATTGCCCTCGTATGCTGCCAAGCAGAGACAATCTTTTCCTCTTTTCTGTGACAAACCTGTGCCTGCTGGATTTGTTTGCTTTCCACAGAATGACTCACAGCAAGTCTGCAAGTCTTTGCCCCAGGAAGCGAAAAGTTCTCCAGTCATTTTTCAATGAGGGGGGGAGAGGAAAAAAAAAAAAAAAAAAAAAGCATGCAAATAATCATCTTCCTACAGAGTGGGAAAAAAAAAAAAACACATTTCAAGGAGGTCATAGGACTCTGAAAGCTTTTCTCACGCTAATAGATTTTCATGAAATTAAATACATGAAGCCACACTTTTATTAGTGCCTTCGGTTTGATGATGAACTCACACAGATGTACACATGATGCTTATTTCTATTTCTGGACTGGATACATCCAGGGCTGACTAGGAATACAGTTTTGGCAAGATTATGCATTGCAGGGCCAAAGCAACCTTCTGATCACTATTCACAACTGTCTATAGGAGAGGAGGGGGGGGGCAGAGGTTGAAGGACCAGGTTAGGAGTGTGTGTGTGTGTGTTAGTGGTGGGTGGTGGGGGGGCATCCCTTATTAGAAAACCATGTCACATTCTATCCTGCGCCGTCCGGACTCTCTGCGCTGCCAGTAATCCCCCCTCCAAGTCCCCCTATGCATGTTATTCAATTCTCTCATAAGTAGTTAGAGAAACTGTTTTCAGTTGCCACTAATAACTACTGACCTCCAGTGACACAGGCCAACAATGGGTTTGTCAGGCCTGAAACGCACAACTAAAGAAGCTGATTAGGAACTCAAGAGGTTTGAAGCAAGAATCAATGGCTGCTCTGTCCTGCCACAGTGCTTCCAGCATGGCACTGATGATTGTGGGACCTCCATTAGTTATGCCTCATTAAGTCCCACAAACTCTTCTTTAAGAAAATTAGTTTAGCCCGTTCTGAAATCTATTACGGCTGTGAATCCCCTACTGAGGAGCCACTGTGTTGAGGCGGCACGACTGGAGAAAGACCTGCTTTACTGTGTAATGACATTTTGAGACGTGTGTGAGAGCCGATGACGTGAAGTCCATTCGCTCTGTTTCCATTAATAACACAACATTTAAAGCCCTAAATGACACTTTTTCCCACATATTTCAGCCTTTTTTGTTTTGTTTAAAAACTTCATTGAATTCTGTCTTTCAAGTTTTATTCACATCCTGTTGAAAATGCATCAGC